TTGCCGCAACCTCTAGACGTAAGAAAGGATCAACCCATGAGCTCAAGAAAATTCCACAAGGAAGGCCAAAGAACAAGGAAAATAATACATATGAAACTGAACAGCAAAAAGAGCCAAGCCATTTCATTATGCCTGCACGATCAAAAAGGCTAAATAAAAAATATCCACATGATTTAAATCAAGCTTTGAAAGAAATCAAGCCGAATGGATATTAAGTAATTGCTAGTTAAAAAATATCTCTCTTAGAAAAGCTTAAGTAAAACGTAGTTAATCTATTTGCAATAATTAACTAATTGCTTCTTATATAATGAATTTTAATTTTTTAACCACTTATATAAGTTTTATGTTTTTTACTTCAAAAAAAATAAAAAACATAAAAATATTATAGCAAATCGGTAAAATTAAACTTATCTGTTATAGGTTTGTTGAAATGTAAAAGCTATTATAAATTTAACAAATAGTTCTAACTATATAAAGTCTAAATTTCATTAATTTGCGAAGATGTTATAGATATAAGAAACAATTAATTAATTTATATTTAACCGAATGATGCGACCTGAATGATATTTGCACACTATTTTTTTAGCTAAATTATTAACTTACGAATTTAAATGATAATACAGTATAGTTAAATTTAGTGTACAACAGAAACTCACCCGCATATTTAATATATTGTACACTATAATATCTCTTACACTATATTAGGTTTAAAACGTTAAGAAGCGCAAGAAATATAATATGCTATTTCGAAAAGAATATAATAATCGACAATCTTAAAAAGGGATCCTGATTTACTGATATGCATATACGTGTATAAGTTCAATGAATTTCGTATGATCTTCATCATGTGATCATAAACCAAGCACAGATTTTATTTTCGCAGGAAAAAACAGACGCGTACAATTTAGGTGAACAACAAACAAAACTAATATTTTTAGAAAATCAAGCAACAAAACAAACACTCTTGTTATTAAACAAAACAAACAACTATGCATTTACTATCACATGTTTATATATAACAAAATAAACATTTATTCTAGAAACTTTAGAAAAAAAATCACACAACATATTTCTAATACAAGTATAATATATAAATTAGCAAACACATGAATTTAATGCTAATGAAAGATTTTGCACTGGCAACAGAAAATAAGTGTCAAGAATTATATGCAGAGCAGAGTATATTCACTTTAAATATAGATCGACATGTAGTGAAGTATCTTGGATATCAAAACCCAGAATTTATAACAACAATCCGCAGTGTATTAGAAACATATAATTGGGTCTTAAGTAAACTAGACCAAGATAAGAAACTATCACTCAAAGAACAGGTACTAATTGGCAAAGTTGTTGAAGTAACAACAAGCATGAAGAAAGAACAACTCAAGCTGAGTAAGCAAAAGAAATTAGAAATGATTTGTACCTCAACCAAAATAGAGCTCGATATACAAGAAAAAGAAACAAGCATTTGAGAAGAAAATCTAAAGAGGAAACGTGAAGTTGCAGATAATGAGGAAGACTCAATTTCTACGAAAAAAGAAGAAGCAGTATTAACGAGATTAGCAGAAATGAATTTGAATGAAAGTGAAATTGAAATCCTGAAGAATGATAAGACTAAAAGTGCAGAAACTAAAGCAGCATTATTATATACTAAATTTGGGCAAGAAGATCATGCAACACAAGAAGTCAAAGAATGGATAGGTTTAGTTAAGAAAAAAGAAAAACTAAATGAAAAAGAGAACGAAGTAGAAAATAATCCCACATTAAATAGAAGTGAAAGTATTTACAAATCTATATGGGTACCCAATAATAATGCAAAACAGGAGATTTTATCAAGAGGAGAAATGTTAGATTTCAAAAAAGAAATGAATGACAAAGAGTTGTCCTTAACTATATGGGATTTACCTATATCGGCAAAACTAAGAAATATAAGAAGATGCTTGAAATGGTATGGAGTTCTAGTAAAGATTGAATGGTGCACTACGACAGAACATAAAAAAGCTGCTTATGTTAGAGTTAGATGTACGAATGAAGAAAAAAGACGTAGCCTTCAAAATGCATGGGCAATCCACTATGAAGCAGGAAAAACAGCTAGAGTAACAAGTAACAGATTTAATAT